CAACTTACAAGGGTCAAAGCCGGCTAAATACCTTCAGGTGTTGGTAATATTAAAAATTGTAGCGAAAGGCTTAAACTTCGACGAAATAGTGAATCGATTACAATCAAATCTGTTATAATATTACCTTATTTTGAGGTCGTATACTTTCTTAGTTTTATTACTATATTTTACTTCCCGTCAGCGAAAATTGCTCAGATTACCTGAGAACTTATTTTCAAACAATTTTATAAATATAGAAATACTAACTTTATTCGCATCTCTGCTCGATTCGAATCCCTTCAATAAATATCGAAGACTATTAATCAAAACAAATAACTAAATACCGAATATGTACAGTGGCGAGCAGAATTGAGAGCATGTTTACAAAAGTTACTTTCATCACCCATAAAAACATAACCACACAAGCAAATCCAAATTTTTTTTTGTTTTATTTTTATTATTTAATTCGTAACAAATTCTAGTATTCTGCAATGACTAATAAGAAAAATTCGAAGAGTTTGAAAGAAAAAACGAAAGAAACTCGCATAAACTCAATTTTGCACGTGTTATGACTTCCAAGTATTTTCACCCTCTCTCTTCTTTTCTCAGCATAAATCAGCCACATACACCGTTATATTTGTTCTTATGCAATTTTTGATGTTCTTAGTTCGAATTAGAAACAATTTGTCGATATTTTGAAAAAAAAAATGAGAAAATTATCTGAAGAAATGGAAAATAATGCTATGAGCCTGGCCGAGAATGGCTGTACTACGCGAAAAATTTTCAAGAGGCTTGGTATTAGCCAATCGGCGGTGATCGCAGTTCAAAAGAGGCGAAATCTGACTCCAAAACCGCAAGTCGCAGGTCGCAAAAAATTATTGAAGGACTCAGATGCTCGACTAATGATGTCCGAAATGAGAAAAAACAAGCCACTGACACCAAAGGGGGCTTCTCTGGTCATTAACAAAAAAGTTAGTGAATGGACTGCTAGAAGAGCGCTGCGAGACATCGAATATATTTCAAGTGTAAAAAAAACCAAACCTGCATTGTCCGATAAGAATATTAAAGCGCGTTTAAAATTTGCAAGGTAGCATCAAAATTGGACCATTGATGATTGGAAACGTGTTGTCTGGTCTGATTAGTCCAAATTTAACCGTTTTCAGTCAGACGAAAGGCAATACTGCTGGCGTAGACCCGAAGAACGTATACAAAGGCACCATGTAAAACAAACAGTACGAAGCAGCTCCAACAAACATGGGCAACCTTTGGGATCGTGTAACAGCAGAATGGAGTCGAATTCCGAAAGATATTATTGAAAATTTGGTAGAGAGCATGCCAGACCGCGTAAAAGAAGTCATTTCCAATAAGGGTCTATGGACAAAATATTGAAATCTATTTAGTTATTAAATTTTTTTAAACGAGCAAAATTGAGTTTATGCGAGTTTTTTTTCGTTTTTTCTTTCAAACTATTAGAATTTTTCTCATTTGTTTTTGTTTCTTTTTTGGATTTGCTTGTGTGGTTATGTTTTTATGGGTGATGGAAGCCAGTTTTGTAAACATACACTCAATTCTACTCGCCACTGTATGTACACGAATACCGAGATGGTCATTTCGCGGTGATGGTGCCAATTTCTCTAATCTATGCTTTTCATTAATTTTTATTTTGTTCCATTTTGAAAATTCTCGACAAACAATCATATCTGCCCATGATTGAATTGTAGAAGGTTGTCTCGATAGCCCAAAAACAACAATTTGTCAAAAGTAATTGGATCCATAATGTCACATCATTTGCTTTGTAATGTTTTAATTTTATGATTCGAAAATAAATTTTTCAAAGATTCCAACCAATGAAAATGCGTTTTTTTAGTGATAACTGAATACGAATAGATTGTAAATCGCAGAAATTCATCAAATTGTAAACAGAAAATTTATAAGAAAACAAAAAACAGTTTTTTTGATATTATGGATACAGACACTTCTTTCGTAAGAGGAAATATGCTCCGTATCGACACAACCTTATGAATTGAATCCTGTATCTGACAAAATAACTTTTTTCAATTTTAAAATTTATTTTACAAACAGATACGATCCTCCAAAATATTTTCTTTTTAACAATCCGAAAAAAATTTATACATTTTTAATAGTAAATATCCAATGTCCTTTCTAATACCATAAGTTTCATGATTATCTTTATTATTATCAAGGAAACATGTTTCCCGAATTTCAATTATATCTCACAGATTGACCAGTATTTTCGGCAAAAATTCAGCCATACGCACTGAGGTTCTTGGTTCTTGATTTGTAAAGGTAATGTAGGAAGGTCAAGGTAATATTACATGCCGAATTTGGTTGCATTCGGTCGAGTAAGACCCGAGTTATGGATTTTCCCCTAAATGTGGGCGGCGCCACGCCTATTGACCAAATTTGACACCGGCTCTTATAAAGCTCTATCGTACCATTTTGAGTGTAAAATTTTATGTCTCTGAAGCATTTATTTATTGATGTATAGCGCTTTTAATAGTTTTTAACAAAAACGTTATATGGGAAGGGGGCGTGGTTTTCAAACTGTCGGTAGGGGTTTTTAAGGATTTGTTCTTAGCAAATTTGGATGGTATAGATTGAATAGTTTGGGAGATATGTTTATTAAACTTATTAGAGGGCCACGCCCACTTTTGAAAGTAATTTAGCCCACAGGCTATATATAACTCGATCACTTTTAGGTGATACAAACAACCGTTAAGTGAACAAAACTATTTTACTCTGTAGCAACATGTTGAGGGAGTATAATAAAAATTAAAAATAAAATCTTGTAAAATTTCCAATCAATTCCCAATTGTGTGTAAATATCCGCTCTCACCTGTGCACTTACGATATCTTCCTCGGGTATTGTCGTGCAGGAGGTGCGCACATGCCGCACCCGATGTATAACATCCAAACTAAGTCTGTGCTCGTCGCGAACTGCTTCTGCCGCCACGCGAGATGTTAAATGGCCGCCATCGGAAAAAGACCGGATGCGAACAGCCCCATGTTCATCTGTGGTGAGACACACCGATTTAAAGCGATCGATCACCGTCCCTTGCATTTGATTGACTCCCAGCGAATTGCCCATGGCAATTGTAAATAAATATGTATGCGTATTCGCACTCAATAAAACTGGACTGCGTATATGTGGATATCGCCGCTTTCACATATGCATTTGAACATATGTAAATGAGGAAGCTATAGATAGCCAACTCTAGGAAGGCGCCAATGCGACAATTTCGATTGAGAGTCAACGCTCGCGAGACCGTAAACTGTGTTGTCTATGTGTGTTGCACCTGAAACTATGTTAGTACCGCACACCTCAAGGATCCGGGTGAGACTGAAATATGCAGATTTCTCACAGCAGCATCCGCTATCAGCCTGCTACATATTTCACAATTTGACTAGAACATTATTAGCAGTAAAAGCGTAAACTTTTCACTTAATTACAACCCAGCACAATGGTGCGCCTTGTATTTTGCATTAATATGAGTATTTATGTATGTATGTATGCATATGTAAACAACAACAATGATCCAATGGAAGGATAAGGTTACTCTATACACATATACTCGTACACGTACATGAATTCACAGGGGTGGAGTTTAGTTGCGCTGACCAGCTGGATGTATGGATTCAACAGGTGGTTTTTACTACAACAACAAGAGCGAATATGAGATGTGTGAGTGATATGATATTTTTAGGGCTTTCGTTATTTTTTATTAACGGTATTAATGGATAGAATTTGTGGCGTTTAAAATTAATCAAGTGTGAAACAGAGAGAGTACAATGGCAGTGAAAAAGTTGTGCCAGTTGAGAATAAAATGTGTACAGAAGTGTTATGTACGGCAAATACTAAATATACTTGCGATATTTTGCAGAGAAGGTAGTACAGAATATGAGTACCATTTGAGGGTGAACAAGAAAAGACGTTAACTTTGGTTGCCCTTCATAAATAAGATATCTTTCCCGGGTATTGTCATGCAGGAAGTGTGCACATGCCGCACTCGATGTATAATATCCCAACTAAGTCTGTGCTCGTTGCATAATCCGTTCTAATCGCCTACATACAGACAGACAAACAGATGGACATGGCTAAATCCACTTACCTCGCCATGCTGATCATTTATATTTTTTTAGGGTCACCGACGTTTTCTTCTGGATGTAATATACGCTGTTCAGGATATAAAAATATTTTTACATACAGGCCGTGTCAAATTCTGAATAGATTCGGGATATCCACATCAGAATGCAACTGAGTGCAGATGCAGATAAGCGAAGTAAACGTGATACTGATCATGTTGGCTTTGTACAAGTAACCCTGTTTTCGAAAGGCTACTTCTTCATATTTAATGTATTATCAAGGACACGAAAAACTAACCGCAGCCAGACCTTAATATGTGGTGTTAATCAGTTGTTGAATATCTTAAATGGAATTTATAACATATCCCCCCTTTTCGGTACTAGCTTTCAAAAGGACAGATCTAGAAAAAATTATCAAAAAGCAATGTGATCCAAGTTCTGGACAGAATTAAAAACATTTGTTAAATGTACTCTTCAGAAGTCTAAACTCAAGTGGTAAACTAAAAAGAGTTTACTTAATGTTTGGTTAGCGAAATTGCTGAGGTTTGCCAGGAATTGTAAACAAAAATCAGCTGTCATTGGCGAAGTTTTAGTCTATTCACAATTCATCTTTCGTGAGCTTTTATTTTAAAATATTACTAATGATTGCTTTTAGTCAACTAACTGGTTGTGGAAATGAAGACCTATAATGTGGTTAAGCTACTATTGGTTAAAAGTTGTAGCAACCAGAGCTAGAGTAAACGCCCTTAAGGGTGTCCCCATAAAAAATTCTAATTAAAGAAATGAACTTTTCTGAATAAGAATTTTCTGGAAAAGATTTCCAATAAAATATAGACATAGCTCAATGCTTTGAATACATTACACGGCGTCATTACACTTTACATGTTCAGCACTCAGATCATTGAGAAATAATTTACCGCAAAACATTTGAAAAAATTTTCAACATTCTTTTTTTGATATTTCGAGTTCAAAGAATTTTCTCAATCATTACAAATTCAAGTGGAAAAGATTTAAATTCATTAATTTAAAAAATTTGTTGTAAAAGCCAAAAAACTTAACTTAATAGTATTTATTATATTTGTGATTAAAGAGTACGTAATTAAATCTAAATTAATGCGTCGAATTGCAAAACCTAATTTTTAATATAAGTTAACCCATGGAAATCCAAAAAACAATGTCTACGCGCTCCACAACTAAGGGCAACGGTGCGTCAAAAACAGCTTTTTATAAAACGAAAACGGGAAAATGCCAACGGCCCAGCGGAACACTGCATCGTAATCCATATTTGAATTTTTTACGTGAATTTCGATTGCGCAATACTGATCTTTCGGCTGTGGAAATTATATGTCGCGGTGCCAGGGAGTGGAAGAGCATGCCAAAGGAGGAAAAATTGCAGTATATAGAAGAGGTTAGTGCGAATAGCGTCTGATCTATCATTATGTTCAGTCTAAGTATTTACCATAGGCTTTTTATGCACCAAAGAAAAGGAAACCACCGGCGCCACCACCGATACCTGCGCAGCCGACACAGATGCGCGCGATGCCATTCCAAGAAAGTTGTGGCATAGTATGCCCGAATCCCTGTGCAAAAAAACGTCGCCGAAGAAAGTCGAAGTGTGCCCGCAGGCGTAGACCTAAAAGGAGGCGTTGCGCCAAGAAACGTCGTCCGAAGCGACGAGGTTGCAAGCGGAAGAAGAGAAGAACCTGCAGAATTTAGTGGGCGTGAAATTAGGAACAAGGAATAGAAATCACAATATGAAATCTCCAAATTATATATGCGTTTATAGAGTTCAAAAGTCTGTAATCGCTTTTGTTTGTAGTCTGGCATAAAATGTGTGTAAATAAATGAAAAAATTTGTATATTTTTAATCAATCTGGTTTATTATGAAAAATAACTAGCTTAGAATGCATCAAGAAGCTTCAAGAGGAGAAACAAAAGCAGACTTGAGCACAGTCGACGCTCAGAAATCAGACCTACTTGGTTTTTAAGGTGATTCTTATTTATGAAAAATTCTTGTTCCTGATTTGAAGTTGGTTGTGAAGTTTCTTCATTTGTATATAACTAAAAATATTAAGTAAATTTAGACAATTACGATAACATTCGAATCTAAGAAACCACCTTCGAATCGAATTGGTGCATGAATGGAGTAAGTAGGATAACAATAAGTAAACAGCTTTCGGATGCAAATTATTTTCTAAAAAAAAGGGGATCACCATATGAACCCACTATTTTTTTTATTACTGAACCCAACAATTTTTTTCACTTCTTTATTAAATGTTTTGTAAAAGCGATCATGAAAGATCCGAGACGTCATCCGAATATTTTTTTTTTAAAGTTGTCACGAATTGGATTATAAAATACTTGGTGTTTTTGCTTTTCTAATTGCCAGCAGCACTAATTTATTGTATGTAATCCATCAGTGCTTGCACCAATTAAAATTAAATTCGTTCCTTCTAGATTTTATATACTGAAGTCTGTTTTTCGAAAGCAAAAACATATCTTTACACTCATTTTATCACGATAGGTGTGATTCAGCGATTTACTTTTACTTTTAAATAATTCAGCCAAAATACATATAGATATGTGCTCGCGTATCAAATTCATATAGCAACTAGCCAGGAATGTACAGCAGAGCGACGACGAATAGCGAATGACATAAGTAAATAAATTGTATATATCCCTTTTTAGATTTATTTTGGAGAAACATAATAATTGATTTTCAATTGTAACAAATAAACAAAATACGCTCAGAAATTCGAATTTTCAATTCTTATTTCAGATCATTTAATGTATTGCAAACTCTGATTCTAATTTCTGGAAATTGTAATTACTGAAGGTTCTAATTTCTGAGCGTCGACTGTATAAAATACCGTATTTCCGAAACTTAGAGTATTTCTGTGATTTGTGGTACGACTTTTTCAGATTACCAAATTAAATCGCAACTTTGGGGTAAGAGGCTGGTTCCACATTTCCGTAAAACTTTCTAATACAACTGGGATATGTAAAAATATTCTACTCGTTGTTACTAATAAAGTATTTACAAACACTAAAAATAACAGACAATAAAAAAATTAATTTTTATACTGTCGCAACTTGATATAAATGATCAGGATGAGGCGATGAGTTGCGTTCCGGGTCACTGTGCAAGCCATAACTTCAGTAAAAATTAAACTTGGTAAACGTGCTTCTTGACACTATAAAAAGATTGGTATTACAGATGGGCGGAATAGAACCATTGTTACGCCCACAAAATACGGTTTATCGAAAACCAATAAAGTATTATAACTAAGCCGCATTACGATACAAAACTGTTCTTTGGCCAAGGGTATCGAAGTATGGAGAGGCATTTGTGATTTAAACTACATATCTCACAAACCACTAATGCTATATCAACTCTAATTCCTTCTGACACAGTGAAAAAATTGATGAAATGGCTGATGACACTGCCCACTCTCCCAACATATAACAGTAATGTGGAAAACTACTACAAGTAATAACGCGATAACTCACTAAATAAATACCATTATCAACTCTATCTTGGGTCTGATATTATCCCAACATTCTTATTTGACAAACTAACAATGGGCAAAATTGAATTACATCCACGCTTCATTATGTCACAATTTTAAATTTCATCTGATTTCTTCACTTTATAATATATTGGGGCGTTCACTAAGTAATTTCGTATTTTCAGCATTTTCGGGAAATATTTTCAGATTTTTTACCAAATAGTAAAAATGTAGTTCAAGCAAGCCGAAAATTATGTCGATCTTGATAATGCCCCACGTCCTGGAAGGCATCTTGCAGCCGACATGGATAAAATAAAGTCGTTGGTGGATGAAAATCGTTGAATAACTCGCTAGATTGCTGAAAGATTAAATTTGTCTAACGCGACCGTTCACAAGTACATGATAGGATGATCCTCATGTTCGTGCAGAACGCAATTTGCTTTGTCGCAATAACGACTGTAATTCGCTTATCAAAAGTCAAAGAAGTGATCCATTTTTAAAGCGCATTGTAACTCGCGACGAAAAGTGGATTTCGCATCTGCTGACTATTACTTGTTCCGGTCTCTGCAACAATTTTTGGATGGGAGAACCTTCACTAGTATTTGCCTGAAAGGATCAAACAATTTATAAGCGTGGAATCAATTCTTGCCCGATGATGGCAAAATGTATTGGATCAAAATGGAGAATATATGTATAATTACACAATAAAAAATCGTGTTTAAATTGCACTAAAAAAACGAAATTACTTAGTGAACGACCCAGTATAAATCAAGCCACAATGGAGATATGGGAATAAAATTTTGCGCAAATAGTGACTTGAAAGTAGGCCATCTCACGTCTTAAAATTATTGAAGTCGGACCATAAATGATCAAGTCCCAATATACCGAATGTGTGGACTCAATACCTATGATTAACGTTTTACCGAATATATCGGTCAATATGTAAATTATCTTAAGGGGTTACATGGGTTTCACGGCTTCAATAAATCTATTTATTTTTTATTGTCTTATTTAATTCTATAACACCTTTAGAATATTGTCCTAAATGCTCAAGTTGATCCGAGTAATTGTTTTGGAAATACAGCCTTGAAAAGTTGAGCGCTCTAGGTCAACTACATATGTAGTCACTTAGAACTTTAAACGCATTTTTCTCAAAACTGTGTTTTTAAAGTCGGTTGATAGAATTTCTCTCGAACTAGTCAACCGATTTTAGTGAAATTTTATACAGGTCTTCGAAATATATTCTAAGGCCTTTTTTCCGAGGGCCTGCCGGAAATCACGTTATTATTGCCGAGTTTTGAATACAAGTATTCCTTTGAAAATTTTACAAAATTTTTGCAAAACATGTACCTTTGGAATATTAAAGTTTGAATAATATATTTAATTTTTTATATAAAAAATAAAATTAATTTTTATTAGATAAGCCGTTTTTTGCCACGTAACCCCTTAAAGTTTTAATATATAAGAAATGCGTTTACAATACTTGAATAATGCCAAAATTTAATGCATCAGTCCAGCCCTTTCACTAGCCCTGATCTAACCGATTTTCCAGCTGACTGTAAACTTATTCTGCTCTTGCAGCATGCTGCAGTAGTTAGTATAATAGTTTTGTTCACCTATATGGATAAAAATGATCACGCGGACAAGACGAGTTTAATTTTGTCTGTCCGTGCAAGCGATAACTTAAGTAAAAATTGAGATATCTTGATGAAACTCGGTACAAGTGTACTTTGACACCCAAGCGAGGTTGATATTGGACCATTCCCACGCTCAAAAAATTGCGTTAATCACATTATAAATGTTTGAAAACTATTAAAAAGAGGGCGTGTTCCCGCTGCCGAATAGGATCTCACAAACCGTTAAGCTACACTATATTAACCAAACTTACTCAGTGCAAATATTTTCGGCGCTTCATCCAACAGTGTGAAACCCTGCACATTCTTAAAATAATGGTTATGTTAAAAACTAGTAAAAGTCCGATAACTTTCTAAATAAAGACGTCAAAATCATTAAATTAAAATCCTACATCATACAGAGAACCGCATAAGAACCTGTATCAAAATTGGACTATTCGACTTTCTTCAATTTACAGAATGTGCATAAATCAAGCACCATTATTGTTATCCCATATATCTCAATTGTAAATTCCGTATGATTCTTTCACTTTAAAGTATGTATTTTAATAGAGAATGATGTTACCGAAATAAAACTTTGCAGATAGTGCCTTCAAGGTAAGTGCCTTTCTCACGTCCAAAAATTATCGGAATCGGTCCATAACACTTCATGTGTCCAGATACCGAATATGTGACTGAAAACATCGGCCAATATGCGAGATATGTCATTAAAATTCAGAGAGCATTTTTTCCAACAATAATGTGCCCTTCTGTCAAAAATGGACGACACGTGTGACTACTTCCTTTCTCCCATATATCTAATATTAGGTCAAGTAAAAAGTTCGTTCGGTTTTTTTGTTCGTAAACTTGTTTCCAATATACCCCTCTCGTAGAAGGCTGAGTCCCTATTGCCAAAAAACTAGGAGAGCCAATTTTCACAGGCTCCCTCATGGACAGGAAAATATGGTAATCACTTGGTGCCAGGTCCGGACTATAAGGTGGTTGCATTAGGTCCTCCCATCCGAGCTCCCGGAGCTTCTGGCGCGTCACCAAAGGCGTGTGTGGCCTGGCGTTGTCCTGATGGAACACAATTCGGCCTCTGTTGATCAAAGATGGCCTCTTCTGGATGAGTGCTGCCTTCAAACGGTCCAGTTGTGGCAATAAAGGGCCGAATTGAGCGTTTGGCCATAGGGGAGCAGCTCGTAGTAGATGATTCCTTGCCAATCTCACTGAACACACAGCAAAACCTTCCTGGCCGTTAATCCGGTCTTGGCCACCGTCTGGACCGCTTCCCCGATCTTTGACCACGACCGTTTGCGCTCAATGTTGTCGTAAGTGACCCATTTTTCATCGCCAGTCACAATTCGCTTCAGAAACGAGTCGATTTTGTTGCGATTTAGCAGCGATTCGCAGATGGAAATTCGGTCCATCATGTTTTTTTGCGTTAGTTCGTGTGGCACCCAAACATCGAGCTTCTTTTTGAATCCAAGGTTATGCAAATGGTTACAAACGGTTTTCTGGCTTATCTTTAGTTCCGCAGCCTGTTTTGTTTCCACTATTTCCATGATTTTATCGCAATTTTCGACGACAAGCCTCCCGACGCGTGGTGCATCTTTGACATCGAAATTACCGGAACAGAACCTAGCAAACCACTCTTGTGCTACACGTTCGTTTACAGTATCGGGCCCATAAACTAAATTAATTTTTTCAGCCGCTTTGGCTGCTTTTTCGCCTTGATCGAAGAAAAATTGTAAAATATAGCGAATTTTCTCTTTGCTGGTGTCCATCTTTGACGAGCGCTCACAACGTACTGAGTCAATCAATCGAAAAACTGTCAAAGACAAACTTTTAGCGCGAATAAACACGTTTTCACATGATGCGGCACGTAACACTAGTACTATGGACAATAACGCCATCTCTTAGATAAAAACCGAACGAACTTTTTATTTGACTTACTAATATAAAGATTTTTCGAACTTCCAGTTAAATTTGACTTACCTAGTATAATGATTTCCGATTCTCTGGTTGCCTTTTTCCTCATAAACGCAATATAATAAATTTAGCCTTTTTGGGAGCGTTTATATCGCATATTTGTCATTGCAGTAATTTAGATTGATATTAATAGAAACATTTTTGACACAAGGAAATACTATAAATGTGTAAATACATGAAACTTGAAGAAGATAAACTAAATATCATTGTAATCAATTCACAATTTGTCGTATAATGAATACCGAATTCTTACGCAACATTTTTAAATATAAAGTTTTAAAAACACCTGAAAGTCCTGTTTTCATTCATGCAATTTGCCAGAGTATATAATGTGTGGATATAGCCGAACTTAGCCCTTTCTTACTTATTTTGAAATGTTTTTCACTATATATAATTGAAATGTGAAGGACAGGCCATAGAGGAAAAGTTAGTAAGTATTAACAGATGATATTAAGACCTTCATTGACTTCGTCCCACTGAATAGCATCCTTGAAATCGAAACACAAAGAAACAAACATACCAAATTTCGTGAAGAAACATTGTCAAATAAAAAATGTTTCATACAAGAACGTGATTTTGATTAGTTTGTATGGCAGCTATATGCTACAGTGGTCCGATCGGAAAATTTTATTCGGAAATCCCAACTTTGAACACTAGTCCGTGCCAAATTTATTGAAGATATATCGTAAAAATACAGTCGAATTTTTTATAACGTGAAATTGTTATGTTGTGAATTATTGTAATTAATTAAATTGAAAAGCATTAATATAAAACATGAAGTTGCAGAAAACATCCCTGACACACGTTTTAAGAATTCTGCCGAGTTGACGTTCATTTCGGTTACGTAAAGCCGAATCGACTGCCATGGGACGATTTTGATGTGAGTAACGGCTTTTAATTTTTGGTTTAGAATGACATAATTATTTTAGAATGCTACTGTCCACATCGACATTTCAAAGATAAGGGTGGTTGATGTTGTTGTTGTAGCGGTTGTCTAACCCCCGTCTGGGTGGAAAGGTACAGGTTGACTGTCTTCGAAGTCATCTAACGGTAAACCCAAGAAAGTTGCTGTTTCGACGGGGTCTGACCATAGAGAGAAGAGTGTGAGATAGGTGGGGTTCGTTGGGCATGAAAAAAGGTGTTTAGCTTCATACGGCGACTCATTGCATGCTGGACATATATTTGGTATATCGGGGTCGATTCTAGATAGGTAGGCGTTTAGCCGACTACTGTATCCAGAACGAAGTTGCACAATTGTCACTCTAGATTCTCGAGCTCTTCGTCTGTAATGGGTGGTGGTTTGACTCGGCGTACTGTTCTATGTCGTCGACGTTTCTGCGAAAATATCCAATCGGAATTGTAATGCCATTGACTATAATATTAAGATCCAGTCTGTACTCCTTCGTCCAGTTCGTGAATATGATCGTTGTGAATTTAGTGAGGGAGAGTGTGCTCCTTGCAGATAAGAAGCGAGAAAGATCGGAGAGATAGCCGTTTACTTTTGAACACTTCCCATCGATTCCATTGCCCGACGTCAATATCACGCAATCATTAGCGTACGAGGTAATGGATATTCCCTCTGGAGGCTGGGAGAGACAGCACCCTGCGGGACCCCCTATTTAATTCTTCTTCGTTTAGAATTTCGACCTCGAAACAGTACAGATGATAGCCAATAACCGTGGAGGGAGCGTGGGTTGTTTTATGAAGAATTGCACTTGGCTGATGTGACGTTCGACGTATGGCGGTGTGACACGCACAACAGACTGTGCGAGGAACCAGTGGTTGTTGAGTGATTTTCGCACGAAGATTAGAGCGGGATGAAGGTTAGGGGGGACTGATCAGAATGGAGTCATGCTGCCTGTTTGAGCTCCTTAGGACCGTAGAGGTTCTTTGGTAGCCACTCGACTGGAGTGGCGGCGCAGTGCGCGAACTGGGTGCAATTTGCACGACCATAGAGACAGGTGTCGCAGTAGTGCGTTGGCAGCATGACTCCATCGATTGTATTATATGTGTTACACCTAACCGAGGTGGAGTTTAGATGGAGCCTTTTGGCGAAACGCAGCAGAAAAATTTCTCCGGGCCTTGGTTGTATTCAATTCCGAAATAACAGACCTTGGCAGGTTAACGTTGTAAAAAACTTTTGAATGGCCAGGAAGAGGTCATGTACTATTGTCAATAACGTCCAAACCATGAAATTCCAGATTCGTACAGAGTCTTCCTGGAGTTTTTATTAAAAAAAGCCAAATCCGATTTTTCTAATACGTTTCATATTTTTGTTCGACTTTGATTTTCTACATTTACTGAATTTGATCACTGACTATAATCACTTTCCTGTAAAAGACCTTGTAGGAACCACGGAATATTTTGGGAATACAGACTTCAGTTGTTCCCAAAATGTTATTTTGCTCCGTTTGGATTCAAGTTTATTGTCATCGAAAACAACCAACGGTTGGCCTAGGAGACGTGCTGTATCGATGTGGTCGGATCATAGAGAAAAGAGTGTTAGACGATTTGGATTCATTGGATATGCGAAGAGGTGGTTATAGTAATGCGAAAATATTTGTACGCATACGTAAAACTAGACTAGATTGTAGATTAACGGGGCAACTCGAGCTCCTTGTCTGCAATGGTTGATGGTTTGACTCCAAGTACGCCATTCACTGGGAGGGAGTTGGCATTAGTTAGTTATTAATGGTAACCTTAGACGGTTAATAGCGTCCGTAGTCTGGTCGGCGTAGTGGCATCCCAGCAGAAACTGCCTCACTAAATTACAAATTATTAGTTGCGCACTGTGAAACATATTATACTTGCAGGATACTAATAATAAAATAATCAACTCAAGTAATTAAAAATTAATATTAGTATCCTTTGACTTTATCAGCTAGTATTTATTTTACAGCGGAGCATTGAAATTGTTTATTTAAGAAAATTTTTCGTATAGAATACATTTAAATTCAAGTTCAGTTAAAATTTAAAGCAAATAATTTTATAATATAATAATAAATAAATAAAGTCAATGGATTCTAAAACAATAGAAACATTAGCATTTGTTTCTTCAAAGAGTCTGTGCAAATTGAAAAACAAAAACACAGATAAATCTAAAAGAAAAGGCAAATGCCATCGCCCAGGGCCATTAATGCGAAATCCCTATTTAAATTTTCTGCGTGAGTTTCGAAAGCAAAATTGCGGCTTAACAGCTGTTGAAATTATCAAAAGAGGTGCTCAGGCTTGGAGAGCAGTACCAAAGGAAAAGAGGTTGAGATATATTGAAGAGGTTTGCTGTTAAATTTCAATAAAACTTTATACTAGTATATATATAAAATATATATTTACATGTTTTTTTAAAGGCATTTTATGCGCCTAAGCGTAAGGGTTGCAGCGGTGCACAGCAGTCACCAAATCTGAGCTCATGTGCTCACAAAACGAAAAAAAGAAGATCGATTCCATCTTGTTCTTCAAAAAGTAGTGTTCATAAAAAGAAATCAATAACTTCTTCCAAACCAAAAAACGCAAAAAATGCGTGTACAAGTAAAACTTTTAAAAGGAAAAGTAAGAAGCGTCCTAAAAAAGCCAAGAAAGCAAAATGTGGACAGCGTAAAAAACTTAGGAAGCGCAAACTAAAATTTCCTAAATCTAACTGTAAACGAGCAAAGCAACAAAGGCGTATTAAGAAAAAACCAAACAAATGTAGCTTTGCTTGATTAATAACAAAAGTGATTTAAAAAATATGTAAACAAAATTTAAATTGTTCGTTCAGTACCCTTGTATGTCACAGAAAAACTAGAAAAATAAAAATATCTGCCAGAATTGCTAATAAAGCTGTACTATTTCTTTCTCAATGACACCAAGTTAAAGAAACAGAAAATGTTGATTAGTATTTATATTTTTGATATAATCATCTTAGAGAATAAACCAGAGAGTGAATACGAAACATTGTTCATTCATATACCATATACGTACATATGTACAATATTTTCAATCTGATCACTTTTCGCTTTGAATATTTTCCATTAAGACCAAGTCTTAGTGAAACAAACCAAAAACCTAATAATAAAAAATAAAATAAAAAGAGTAAGTAAGGACTAAGTTCAGGTGTAACCGAACATTTTATACTCTTGCAACTTGCAATGATCAAAGCCGACGAAATACTTATAATAGCAAAACTTTATATTAAAAAATGTTGCAAAAGAATTCCGCATTCATCAATCGACGAAATCGTGAATGGATAACAATCAAATTTGGTTTCTTATTAATTTATAGTGAAGTTCAACGAAACTTATAATAAAATCATCCTCAAATGAGAGATATGTGATATAAACTCAACCGAAGATGCTAAATTAAATATATTTAGTTGATATGGAAAACCAATTTCATTCATATTCAGTGGTAAACCACATAATTTATATTGGCCGATATATGCAGTATTAAGGTAGGTGGAAAAAGCCTCCATCTGATTCAATCCATTTTTCACATACAGATATGCTGTTATCAGTTAAGGATTTTCTCCGAATTTCAATAACATGATATATTCGATAATAGAAAAAGAATATAATATTTTTGTTGGGGTAAAGTTGTCCTATTACTGTTCTTTAGCACCAGAGCTTTCAAGTTTAACATACTAATAATATAAAAATATAACATACTAATAATATATAAATATAACATACTAATAATATACCATGTGAATTTTTATATTAGTATTGGAAGTACAAAAATCAAAGTACATATGTAGCTACTGAAAAACATATGGTTAATATATGTACATACATTAAGCCCTCGAACGACGAACTGATTTTGCAATGCGTAACATGTTTTGGTACTTAAAAAGAATTTCAAGCATCATGACTTCGGGTTTAATAAAAATACTTTTTTAAATTATTAAATCCAACACCATGATCGCGTTTTAGCCACTGATTTCCCTACCCTCTTCAAATCGTAGCTTCATATTAATTATTTCAAAAGCTTTTAAATATTATGGAAACGATAAATATACTTAAGGGTCCGAGACCAAGAACAGTCAGGTCTACGTAACCGGAACGTATCCGGTTTTTCATCCGGCCAAGGACTGTCGACTCAACTGCCGCTTCAACAACAACAACATACCAGAGGGTAAATGCTTTAAATTGAGCAAATAAAAATTGTTACCATTACTAAATATTAAGAAAAAGGCAAAAGTCGTATATAAAGTATGATCAAGATTTAGTATACAAAATATATATAGTCTTCATACATATGTATACATGTACGCCAACCCACTTGTTTATATATTTTTTACGTTTTATTGGAATTGTGTGTTGATACATATGTGCGCACAATTACTGCTTACATTTCATGATTCAGTCGACACCTACGCATCACATCACTACCATAACCAAGTAACTTTTGCATTTTCGTTTTCATATCATATTTTGATCAAAAATAATAAATATAGTATGTTTCAGGTATGAATTACCTTTTCTAATTTCTGGAAATATTGACGCAGGAACTGAATTGGGTTTTCCGGGCGACTAACACAAAGCTGTACGATGCAATCCTTGAGTACACGTTGAATACCATGCGCCTGAATGTAATTTTCGCATTCACGTAGACTTTGTTGTTCCTCCAAAGTATTGGCCATGATTGCAGACAAACACCTTTCCACAACTACCAAATATATATGTATATATGATATGTGAGCAGGGTCTTACTTGAGGACTACTTTGTGAATGCTGATGGGCGCTGGCACGAAACAACAACAAAACTTTTTGGCACGTCGACCTTAACTTTGTAATGCTACTCTTGGTGGTGAATTTCAGTTGTAAACGTATGAAACGGTAAAATTAAAATAATTTCAATATTTTAATACGTGTAAATTGTTGCCGAGTAATATTCACGTTTTATTTTTTCCCAAACACTACACTACAAGTGTAAAACAGCTTATCGTTTTGTACTTTCTCGTTTTTGTAGTGTTTTTCTTTGTTCTCTCTATTCACTCGCTTTCATTGGCACCCTATAACACACAGTGATTTCTTGGGTGGTTTTCTTTTCTGCTTTGACACAAATTTTATTTATACACTAAACATACATATACATATTTTTCCATTTATTCAATTGTAATTTCTATTCATAAAGTGTTCAACAAATTATAAATATTCTAAATTGCATTGGTCTGAAATGCTTCTTTTAAACTACAAAAATATTATAAACAGTTCGTCCAAAATGTAATTTTATCGTTGCTCTGAGACGTCAAACACAGCATTGCCATATGCCAATTAATTTTGATTTTGGTAAATGAATAGTTCAGGTCCCCCAACTGAAGAAACCGCGAAAATTATATAATTATTAAATCGTCTTTATTTGACGCGAAGATGACAATTCCGTGGGCGAGTATATAGTATATAATGTTTTTAAAATGTTCTGATTCTATTCTCAAGCAAGAGCAAGTTGTAAAAGTTATAAAATTGTAAATTGAATAATTTATATGTATCATTGTATATATCTGTTAATTAAATAAAATATTAACAAGCAATCTGAAGGCCAAAATATGCGATCATATTTGGAATCGTTTTGGCAAAACTAAATGAAGTAAACGCCAGTAAATTTAACCAAAACACAACCTATAACGTTGTTAAAGCAAGTTTTGGTATTCTTTTCCAATAACTACAAAGCAACGGCAACTCTTTATATTTATAAATTGACAGATTGCTGTCAATTCTCATTCCCCAGCACGTGAAATTTCAAAAATAACAAAAGAAAAATTTGTTGATCCACATTTATTTTGTATATATCATATTCTGTAGAGAAAATCAATAATGAAGACATTTTCATTAAAACAAGAGGAACGCAGAGAAAAGAAGAAAAAGAAGTTGCTAGCTCTTGCTAAATTGGTACAACTAAATGACAATGATCGTCGTGACACTGCGACAAACCAAATTGTTTCGGAGGCCGGCGAGACTCGGACTACAAAAGACGACGATGGTTTTGTTAAGGTATATGCAAAAGTGCGAGTTGTATACTGGTTCAACTAACTTTAAAATAAATATTTATTTTTAGGTGACACATAAAAAGAAATCTGCCAAATTAATGCCTCCAAAGTTCCAAACTAAAAAAGTAATATCAGAGACAGCTTTAGAAGATGAACCTCAAACAAAACGCCCTAAACTTACAAAATGTGAAAGCACGGACGGTAGTGGTAGTGACACTTCCCAGGTGTCGTCAACCACTGAAGAACAGCAACGCCGAAAACTACAACTTACTGAAGAGCAGTATAAGGAGTTACGTCGCCAACTACGACAACGTAAAAGGGAACTTGAAAACGTGCCTATATTACGATTGCGTGAATTTGGCCAACGCGCCTCGCTAGAGATGCCGCAAGGACAGCGTACACCAATATTTCTAACGGATATTCAACATTTGTTAATGTCAGCCCTAATTGGAAAAAAATCACCATGCAGTCCGGATAGATGGTGCTTCTTAGAAAAACCTTTGCGGCTTTCACATAGTGTCGTTTTAATATTAGAGGGCCTTTCACTTTATCATTATCTCTCGAATGAAAGTAAATTCACCAAAACAAATGATATATTTCAGACACGTTTAGAAATTGTATTGCCGCCCCTTAAAGAAGGCTCTATTATTGAAGAAATGGCTCAGGTACCTCTAACGAATGTACAAGCACATAAGTTAATTGAACAGCATGGCTCACTAGAATTGGCAGTTGAAATGACTAAAGATCCTACGTTACTAGTTAAAACAATATTTCCAGTAGGCGAAGCTGTAACAGCTCCCAAGGAAAGCAATTTGCCCGTTGGTGACAAATTTCCACGTACTAAGCTGTTGCTCTCTGCTTTGCAAATGGTAGATGAAGGTTACCCAATGCCATTACGCGGTGAGCTTAGCAACCGTTTCAAAGAATATGTATTTACCAAGGATAAGTACGAGCCTGTGATGGACAGCAGCCCAATGTTTGGCGTCGATTGTGAAATGTGTCGAACAGTCGTTGGCCACAATGAGCTTACGCGTGTTTCAATCGTCAATGAAGATCTTGAAACCGTTTACGAAACACTAGTAATGCCTACGAATAAAATTGTTGACTACCTGACTCCCTACTCTGGAATAACAGCGAGCATCATGAAAACTGTAACAAAAACGATAAAAGATGTGCAGCGTGAAGTAAAAGAGTTACTACCGGCAGATGCTATTTTGGTTGGCCAGTCTTTGAACTTTGATTTGAATGCCATGAAAATGATGCATCCTTACGTGATAGATACGAGTATGTGCTTTAATTTGAGTGGCGTTCGTAGAAGGAAAGCAAAACTGCAAACGCTTGCAATGACATTTTTGAAGGAAGCTATTCAAGAAAATGCAGATGGTATGTAAATTATCTAATTTTGTTTTAAGAAATATGTAAGTGTAATATGTATTTATTTTTTCTTGTAATTATAGGTCATGACTCCGTTGAAGATTCCTTGGCTAGTTTGAAGTTGGTAAAAATGAAGTTGGCGAACAGCTTAGAGTATGGTGATGAAATTCTGTCACAAAAGAAACGTTTACACGACATTATGCGTTTGGCTGGTGGTGATAATATTAAGAATAACCTTTTGGCGCATGCATCCCAACGAGATAGAAGAACAGCAATTATCACTAACGGAACGCTTCAGCAACAAGTGAAGGAAATCATAGTGAAAGCTGAAGATAATGACGTAAGGGACAAACTAAAAAGTATTTCCTTTTACGAATTGGATACGAATAAGAGCGCAATTAACAAAGCCCGCGAAATTGTACTGGAAAACTCACTAACAATTACTAACTTACGATTAGGCGTTGAGGAATTTCAGTTGGA